AGATAGGTTACATAGAGGGCGGTTAGAATACTGTATAAGCGCAGCTTTGTGCGGACCTTCGGACTTTCTTCAGGATGAAGCGACACAATCGGAGTGTCATTAGGGAAGACCGTCTCGACGAGAAGCTCTCCAGGCTCTCCTGGAGGTCGAGCCTGGGGCACAGAATTCAAGATCTCGGTGGTGTTCATAGTCATTTCGTAAAAACGGGCGGACAAGTATAGCGCACGAACGTAGTGTAACTCGTTTGATATATAGATCAAAGAGATAGATAACGATAAAGTGTAATGAATTATGAGAGAGCTCTCGTGATATTGAAACCGTTATGTTTCCAACTATTATAAATACCACCTAACCCAGGTAAGTCGAGGTTAGTCACAATGAATGAATCACACCGGGCACTGGTAATTTTATCGGCTCTTGCCGGCTCCACCATTTTCTCACCGCGCCTATATTGTATTTGTATTAGTTCTTACGAAGTCCTCTCTGTAACATTTTCTGGCAGGCTAACTCATTGAAGCCTCAATCAGCATACCTTTCCCTTCTTTCGCAACTCTAATACTAGCGATCTTCAGTGCTTCATTGAGTTCTTTCACAGTTTTCACGCGTAGACCCTGCATCCACGTCCCCGATTTGTCGGGGACGTTTTCCCAGCCAACTTCCGATCCAGCTGCTGCCTCAGCTAAAGCAGCATAATTAGGCGTTGGACGAAAAGAGATGTTGATCTCATCGTCAGATGCGGATGTGTTAAGACCCTGTGGGTAGACGAGTTGCGTAGAATTCCGGGGTGCTTTCCAGCCTACGTCCAGGGAGAGTAAAGTTAGTCATATATGAATACGTAACTAGGAATGCGTAGTAGAGTCATCACGAAATTCCGCTCCGTAACTGGCACATGAGGGATATACTCGGCAATGGGCAAAGGATAAAATGCCGACGGTAGAGAAGTGAACTTACCTCCATTGTTTAGAACAACTGTCAGAACCGGGATCTCGTATTTGCTAGCAACCCACAGCGCACTGGATGGCGCGGCACACATGAAACTTCCATCGCCGACAACTTGGCAAACCAAGCTCGGCTCTTCTTGGCCGTCGCCTTTTTCCATGTCTGTCAGCGCCATCTTGACGCCCAGTGTCGCTCCGTTGCTCCATCCTATGCCTGTGCCGCCGCAATTGATCCAGCTCCCCGGGCGATCGGGTTGCAACTGATCAGAGAGTATCTGCGCTGACGTGACAGCTTCAACGACAAATGTAGTTGAATCTGGAAGTGAGGTTTTCAAAAGGCTACCAATGTTATGAGCATCAAGTTGATCCTCATCGTCTAGGCGAACATGTGAAGCAATCTCAGCTAGACGATCTTCGTGGGCAGAGGCGCGCGAGGTTCTTCGAGTCGCGTATTTCGGATCCTGAAGAACGAGATGAATCGAACGGTCGCTTTTTATATGGTCAATCAGTTGTGTGAGAGCTGTGTAACTGTCGGCTTTCCAGCGTCCGTGTGCGGGGAAGAAAGATACTGGAATCTGTTGATTCAGAGGGTCAACGTCTATGTGATATATCTTAGCCACCTTGGAGGGAGGGTTTCGGGAGGGAATCCAGGGGACGTCGCAGTCAAGTAGAAGGATCATGTCGGCGTCTTTCGTGCATTCGTGGGTGCTGAAAAGGGAAGCCTCGGACGCTACGTGCGAAAACGGGAAGCACACGTCGCTACCGCCCGTATCGTGTACACGTATCCCCGGGACAAGGTCCGCTAAGGCGACGAGTAGCTCTGGCGTTCGTCGATCTCGTCCGGAATATCCTGTAATAATAAGGGGGCGTTCGGCGTCCACTAGGGCTGTGCAGACTCCACGAACAGCATCTGCCGGAAGCGCACTGGGTCCTATGGGTGTCCACTTCTCTTGCTGTAGCGAGTAGGGCTCGATCTCCTCGCCGAGTACCTCTCGTGCGCCAGCGATATACACTGGTCCCTTGGGTGTAGAATTGGCAAACTGCAGGGCGCGCCCGATAGTCTGTTTGATATTGAGTCCAGTGCGAACCTCGCCCGTGTACCTACAGTATTGTCGCACGATGGCCCTCTGGTCGGGAGCTTCTTGCAACCAGTGCATGTATTCTGTCCGGGAGCCCAGAAGCTCGCCCGATTCAGTATATGGGCACAAGCCGGCGAATATAAAGACTGGAACACGACCGACACTTGCATTATGAATGCCCTGCCCGAGAGCTTGAGTACCAACATCAACGTGTACGATGACGGCCTGCGGTCGTCCTGTGATGCGGGCATAACCATCCGCCATGGAGATGGCGATAATTTCAGACGGACAGGTGATAATTCTGGGCCAATTGCCAGGACGCTCTCTTTTTCCTTTTACGATAGCTTCGATTATGGATGGATGATCGGAGCCAACATTGACGAAGCAAGCCGTCACACCGGCCTTCAAGCCAGCTCAGCCCATGCTCTCTTCTAGATAATGCCACAGGACGTACCTCCCAGAGCCCCTCAAACAGGGCAAACACAGTCGTATAATAACTACAGCATGTGTCAGTTCAGCTGTCTTTTAATCACGGTATAGGTTAAGGCAATATGCGCCTACCGATCAGCTTTCGGTCTTGCACCCCGCGTGATTGGACGCTGTGGAGATCGAGATTCATCGTGGCCAATACTCGGGGGATTAGGTGCTGTGGTTAAGCGGACTCTAGACGGCGGTAACAAAGAAGAAGAAGAAGAAGAAGCAGCAGAAGCCAATGTCAAGGTGGTGGTGAGCTTACGGGCGGTGTTGGAGTGGTAATTGACACCCCTGAAAAGACGCACCGTCGACAGAGAAATCCCAGACGACAAGCCACGGCCCCGCACAGCCATCCTGAGCCTCTTAGTTATGACGGACCCTTCGGGAGACCCTAGAAAGCTGTTGAGTATGTGTACGTTAAACGGGAGAGTCGCGTGTGATTTGAGCGACTGCTGCTGCAAACACGTACAAGACATTTAGACCCCGAAATGCTGATGTACGTCGATCGCTGCGGCCCAGTCCGCCCTAATTGGACCCTGCCAACTACCTACATAGGTATCTTAACTACCTAGGTGATCTGTATATGTAACTAGATATATAGGTAATTCTCAGTCTAAACGTGCTTGAAATGGCTCTAGACTATAATGATGTTTCATTTAAGTCTAATCTACCGACCCCTTCTAATAAAAAGATGAGGGTCCATGTTAATAGTCCCTCCTCATATAATAGTTAAAGTTTCAGGGCCGCACGAGTCAAACCAACGCAGTTCCGATTCAGTTCTAGAATCCCACTCTTCTGGGGTAAACTGCGCGGGACGTCGCTTGCTGGCCTTTTCATCGATCTGAAAAATGCCTAGTCGCTTGAAGAGCGGATGTTCCGCACCTATAGGTCGCGATGTCTTTCGAAGGATGAGACCAACCGGTCCACGTTTTCCAGATGCTACGCAACGGCCTACCTCGAGGAGATTGACATGTATCGGGCCAGGGTTGGCTTGTTGCGACGATGTCAAGAACTCAGGCTTAATAGCGTCTGGAAACGGTTTAGTAATGACCAGGTTGCGAGCGATGTTCTTGAATGGTAATTTTTCGAGCCGAAACACTGTTTCTTTCTCAGAAAAGGCTCTGTAGTAGAGGGCTTCTCTCAGTTTCCCTTGAACGGTGATGTACCCGTGCTTTGCCGCGCCATAGCGAGCCTTGACCTCGGTGAGTTCAACGCCCACATCTAGAAGAACTAGCTTTGTGTCATTTCGTGCTGCCCTGGCGTAGAGAAGGTTGGCGGGACCAAGGACTGAAGTCCACAATCAAGACGGAGCAAGATGTTTCTTCAGCCGATGGTCGAGTTGCGGAAGCCCATCTACTTTCGACATCCCCGGGCCGGTCAAAATGTGCCATAGGAGACTACTGAGCAGCGATCCTCTCCAATGTCCTGCTAGGTAGTCATCTTGTATGATAGTGTCCTACGCTTCTGCCATTCCTGAGGCGGCCCACTAGGAAGAACTCTTGGGTCAGTCGTTGTCATTCTGAGTGTGGTTTATGGGTAATCTGGAGTTCTAGGATATTTTCTTAGCCTAGAATAGGGTGTTTGCTCTGAAAGAAGGGTGCCAAGAAGGGAATTAGCTTTAGGAATAGCTCACAGGGCGATCTCCAGCGTATGCGATTGTTCGAGATGTATAAATCGGTATAAAAGATAGCCAATGCCCATATGCAATCTCTTGGCGTTCAGCATGCGTCGATATGGTGGCACTGCTTTATATGGTACCGTATATCGTATGCACACACCTGTTGTGAAACTACTCCTCGAGGCTGGTGCCGACATCAACAAGGCCGACTTCTTAAATGTCACGCCCCTACATACTGCGGCCACTCTTGGGAATGTCGAATTACTGAAACTACTTTTGGACTTTTCGGCAAACAGAGATGCAATCGATGGCATGGGAGAGAGTCCCATAGATTGGGTTCACAAGTCTGGTCAATTTCAAATGCAAGATCTTCTATTAGGCCATGAAATCAAGGATGACAAGGATCCGCAAGTTACCATTGCCATTGACGCGAATCCAGATGGTGTGTGGGAGGCCTCGAGTGCCACTATTCCATACTTTCCCGGTTTCCACGGTCATCGGTCAGGTATGAGATCAAGTATCATCGTGCAAGTTAAAAGGTCCTTCATCTTCCAGTGCATAATCTATAGACAGAGCAGTCAGCTAAGCCTACACGATTATGTACTTCTAGTCTCATAGATTATAGCGTTTTCTTTCACCTCATGTTAGATTCAAAAAGACATAAACGTCCTCTTATGGTTCAATGTATATATATAAGCACCAGTTGCCGCCTCTTTACACCATTGATTATTTAATACAAGGTTTATATATAATTCACCTTTTTAAAGTTGATTAAATAAAACCAAAGACTCTTAAAACAAGAAAAGAAATTAAACACCTCTAAAAAAGGGAAAAGGAAAACGAGCAAAAAAGAATATCACAGATATTAATGATAAAATATATTACAATGAAGGGTCTGGCCGGGGATTGAACCCGGGACCTCTCGCATATGCCGACCAGCGGGTATTATCCCATGGTCTCAGTTTAGGGTGTACCCTAAGCGAGAATCATACCACTAGACCACCAGACCAGTTGTTATTGCTGCCGTGTGCACCATTGGCTCGGTTGTTGGATGATCGGTACATTAATTTTTACTATATCACAGGCAATTTATCTTCGTGCTTCGGAGTTTCTATGGCTACAGATAGCATACTTAAGTACATACTAAGTATAACATCTGCCTCACTACGTCTGTTAAAGCATATACAATTTCACAATACGTACTTTTGCCGCAGTTGAGCGATTTACTTTTGGAATAAGAGGAGATTGGCTGGCTGGCTGTTATTATGGCCAAGCGCACATGACAAGCTCCAGCAAGCCCTTGCTGCTGTTCTCGGAGGTGAGGGAAAGATATGTCTCTTTTTAAATCATCTTAAACTTCAAATGGAGTTGCGAATCTCCTCCAGGTAAAAGAATTATGCCTTGAGGCTAGAATCAGATAAACAAGCTGTACAAGAAATGAAATCAACGTCCACAAATCGTGACCTTTCCCGTCTCCACAGTAGTATTCACATCGCTTTCCCCTTCCCTTTTCCCCAGCCATCTCCACCGAGCGGGGGGAATTCTTCTTCACTGGTCTCCAAACCAGCCATCGCCTTCCTGCTCTCCTCCTCGGCGAGACTTAGTTGCAACGCTAGTTCTAAATCATCATCGGCGACTGGAGGGATGACCATCGCCCTCGAAGATGATTCGGCCTGTTTCACCATCGGTGTATGGCTCGATGATGGTGAGCTGGAAGGCGAACGCTTGGCCTTCCTTTCTTTGAAAGTGATAGGACCATCAAATTCACTCGAAATATTATGGCCCTTGGGAGAGCGACCAAGATCGTTGACGCCCTCCAAGAGGGATAGACGAATGGCAGTTTGGATTTGAAGTTCGTACTCGTTCTCGCTGATGCTTTCAATGGCAGTGCTGGTGTTTCCAGTAGGTGGGCTTGTATCGGTGACGCTGGGGTCGGGGGTGATGGTATTCATGCTTCCAGTTGTGGACGTTGTATCGAGATCCGCAGTCGAGCCAGTGTCGCTGTTACTTGTTCGTCGTTGCTCATCTTGCAAAAATGACTCTTGTGACATCATTTCCGCGTACTGAAGAGCTTCCTCTTCACTTAAGTCGTTCATACCGACCCCAAAGCGAGATCGAAGGCGAGCCTGTTCTCGTGCCTTGTGACGCTGCTCGTCGCGGAGTTCTTCAGCCTCGGCAGCAATGTAACCTTTGACACCGCCACCGTGACGCCGCCCAGTCAGGCGACCGTGAACGTCGGAATGCCGTAGTTTCCTTTTACGACCGGTGGCTTGATTGGAGGAACTGTAGGCCCAATATCGCACAAAGGTACCGAAAGCCACAATCCCGTGAAGGACGGTGGGGTCCGGGTCTAGATAAATGGCGCCGGCGGCGTAGAAGCTCGCATCGCCAAAAGTAGGATTGAGAGCGAGGAGATGGCGAGGCATGCGACCGGGAGAACGGGAATTCAGTGTACGAATTGGATCCAAGGTAGAAGCCAGGGGATCCCAGGCCTGAACCAGCCCATCGCTGCCGCCATGGACCAAGTAGAGAGCCGAGAGAGCTAAGCACGAAACCTCGGGCGATTCTGTCTGAATAACTCGGATTGGGAAGATGCCGTCACCTGTACGCCCGGCTCGCATATTCCAGAGTACCAGCTTCCCCGTGTTGGTACCCAGCCCAATCAACCTTGCTCTCCGACCGGGAATATCTGAGGGCGATTGTCCAGATGGGGTCGCAGGACCGCTAGCTGAGGAAGTAGAGATATCCTTCAAAGGGTCCTCGAATGATGTAACCAGGGCCATGAGTGACATATCAATCGCGCTTGTGGTGATCGCAACATGGCCAATCTCCTTCGAGCAGAATGTAGTCTCGACCCAGTCGTCTAACCGTTGTGAGACAGTATTATTAGGCGAGGACGAAGGCAAGTGTTTACCAGACGCCAAGACTTGCTTGAGCAGACAACTGGAATTACCTGGGGAAGTAGATCCAACGCTGTTACCGCCAAATATAGATCGGTGTGGTGCTGTTCCTGGCGAGGACACTTCAACTTGCGGAGCTGCTACGCCGAGTGGAGGTTGGCTTGTGATATCTCGCGTGAAGCGTCTTAGATTCCATGTTTCATCGTCATTCAACGCACAACCAATAACAAAGAAGCTTTCTCCTGCACCCGATTCGTTGTCACTAGCAAAGTCAACCTCGAGTCTTCGACGCATGTCCCAGCCATAGCAGACTTTTCGAAAATGCGAAGGCTTATAACGAAGAAACTTTTCAATCTCTCGCGCCTCAGCAATCATTTGCTCTCTCTTCAAGCTCATAGCATTAGAAGGAGACCTTGGTGAATAGCTACCTCGGACTGCGTTTCTTCCTGAGTCATCGGGACGCGCCTGTCGCCGAGTAGCTTCCACAAGATGCCAATAAGTCGAACGACCGGTATGCCAAGCAAGCTTGGTACTGTCGTCAGCTTTAGTCTTACTTGAAGGAGGACTTGGAGGTTGGTTTAAGTAGTAAACTTCACCCAGGGCATTGAGAGCCACTGCCCAAACACGATTCATAGCCTTCCTTTTCTGACTATAGCTATCATCAACCTTGAGTGCGATGATCGGTACACCAGGACTCAGCACCCAGCGAGCGCTCATTTCGCCAGGTGTGTATCGTGGACCAGAGGGTTCATAGCCGAGAGCATATGCAGTCACAATCCCCAAAGACGATCCAGTCATGATACCGACCATAGACTGGGTAACGGTAGGCACGGAAGACGACTTGGCAATCCATGCGGAACATATACCCTCTGACAGTTCTGGAATCTTAGGAATATCGGGATGGGCTTCAATCAAGCCAATTCCTTGGCCAAGATATTTCCCCCTATACTCTCCAGTTGGACGGAAGAAGACGCGGCCGCCTGGAAAGCCTTCGCCGCCCACGAGACCGTAAGGCTGGCTTACATCCATGACATTGGGCATGGCGGCAGGACCCTCCCCCATGCCATAAGGGATAAGCTGCGGCATCACCTCGTCCAATTGAGCAAAGACAAAAGGGTCATCTAGGCCCCACTTCTCTACCTTCCCAACAGAGGGATCACTTGCGCTAACAACGCCCAAGTCGGCGCCGCCATGGATAACTCGTGGGGGTTTCTTGCCATTGGGTTTGAACGTGGCATGGAGGTGAGTCACCATAGAAGGCAATTTGGTGTTGTAGGTCAAAACTGCAGCGGCCTTCTTGCCGGTATGGGCAGTACGCGTGGATGTGCCGACTCCTCCCGAATTTGCTCCAGGCTTTCCTCTGGAAAGACTGCGGAGAAGGCGGATTCTCAAAAGGTACTCGCTACGCCAAGAGGCATGCGGAGTCAGACGGACAAAAACGCGGACTTTAGATCGTACGGTATCGTCATCGTCATCGCCCCACGCGACGCCTGGTGCCTTATTCGTAGCTAATAAAGCATCTTGTCCAGGGAAGAAGCGCTGAAAAGCCATGCGCCACGCATGAGGAGTAGTGATCAGTGAGTAGAACCGTTTAGATACCAAGGCCACGGAGGCGTGCGAATCGGGATGCAGATGTGAGAGTATGTGCGTTAGGATTTCTATCGTCCAGGTTAGAATGGCAGCAACTGCTAAGGCGTACAAAACGAGCGCGTACCATTTGGGAAGTCGTCAAGATTGACACGAGCAGTCGCGTTGTCGGCGCGCTTAATGACCTTGAAGCCCAGGGCTTGTCGAGGAACAGAGGGTGTCAATGCATTTTCATACTCAGCAATGCGTTGGCCGGCGAGAGGAGGCCGCTCAGTAGATGACTGGTCGCGGACATTCAGTCGACGCAGTCGCTCATCGAGGCTATCCGGGTGGACACCTTGGCCGAAGGCGCCGAGCGAGCTGGCGTCGCCGACATCGCCAACAGATTGCTGCGACGGCGACATGCTGCGCTCTCGCTGTTGCCGAGGGCCGCGGACCGAGCCACTCGCATCATCGCGCTGGGGGCCATATTGATCGGAGGAGTGAGGAGATTGGGAAGTGTTTCGTGGTTGAGTCTGTTCGGGGGTCTTGGGAAGCTCTAGTTGCATAAAGTAGTGTAGAGGAAACGAGGGGTAATGACGATGTTACTGTGCGATGGGTGCTAGCACAGTCAATGAACAGGGCTTGTCGATAATTATCGAACAAAAGAGGTTGTGTCTACGTGGGTCGCGCGTGGAGGTTAGAAAAGCCGTGATGTGTACATTCGCTTGGGTAGGTAGAGGAGAAGGGGCGAAAAGTAGACGATGTGAATTATTCGCGATTTCTAGGATGGAATATACTTAGGTACTTACCTTGTACCACGACAGGGGAGCTTTTGATTACTGGCGGCGCCCACCTGACGTATCTAAATTAGTACTGTGTAAATTGCAGGTGCTGCCACTTGGCAGTCCATGTGGCTTCGCAGCTAGCTTGGCTTGGCAGTCCCAAAAGTCAGAAATGCAGAGATGACGACAAGCGCCCCATCTAGCCCCTGTCGCAGGTTAGGGAGCTCTGCTAGAAGCTCGAATGGATATTTGCAGCTAGTCTCTTTCATGCACTCACTTTCAACGAGCAACCAGCTCCCAAAACGTATCTGCCTAATCAACCACGCAATCTTCATCGTCGTCATCGTGTACTACACGCGTAACCTATAGGCCGGGTATAAAGCCATCTATTTCGACCAGAAGACACCTCTTGCGCGATCCAGACTGGGAGTTCATATTACCAAAATTTCATCTATACCACGCGGGCGACACAGACAGGACAGACAGCCGCAACAACCACCTCAATAAATCGACTTTAAACGAAAAGACAAAGGTTATACAAAACAGAACCAAAATGGATTTTTCCGACTCCTTGTACGTCTCGAACCCCGAATGCGATGAGTAGCTAGGTCATCCTGTGTCGCTCGTCTGACGGCACCGTATTCCTCACGGTCGAGGGGGTTCTACTGAATGGATCATTCGCGCTAACATCGCTCGCACCGCAGCCGAATCGTCAACCTCGTCGTGGGTGTGATTATGATCTTGGGCGGCATATCGCA